CACAAAGTCACAATTTAGTTCCTTTGTCATCCATCCAATCGTTAGGGTGAACACTGCAGGGATTTTGTCACTTCTTTGGCACTGCATTGTCGAGGGCTTTCATGGCCAGAATCACTGGGTTCTTGTGAGTTTTCCAGGCTGTATGGCCATGTTCCAGAAGCATTCTCTCCTGATGTTTCACCTGCATCTATGGCAGGCACCCTCAGGGGTTGTTAGGACCTCACAATGTCATAAATACAGGCAAAACATTAGGAGAGAATACTTCTGGAACATGACTATACAGCTCGGAAAACACAACATTTTTGGCATTGTTTTTCTTTGCTTTACATCCTCCATTACATGCCCCCTAAGTTTTATCAACTTTTCCACAGGTCATTGCTAATTCCATAATTTTGGGAGGCAAAACCTGCCCTTGATATCAACTTATAGTTGAATATATACAGTACATAGTCTAGGGTTCCATGCTACCTGTTCATGGCAGTGCCAAAAAACACCAGCTGCTCAATGCTCAACTGTCCTTTTTTGCCTTAGCGTTGAGAGAAGTCGGTGTATTTATTCCCGTAGTCTTCTCTATTCTTTCCCCACGCAGCAGTATTGTTTCATGTCTATCAGAGGTGCAGTTTATCCATTATCACTTCCTTTGGAAACATGTTCTCACTCACCCACCCCTTTCACAGGAACGTGTTTGCTTTTGTGTCTGTTTCTCCCATACCTCCTAGTTTTTGTTGCCTTACTTATCACACTTGGTTGATCTTAACACTATCATGTTTTCTTTTGTTGTGTTCTTCCTTTCAAATGCTGTCCCATCATTTATTTCAGTCTTGTTCATGAGTTGACATTTTTGCTATTTGATCCTCTCCTCCACCTACAATTTGTTAATATTAAACCATGCTGTTATGAGGTTTATCCGGAAAGTAAGGTTACAAGATTTTTAAAAATACAAAGAATGAATACATGGATTGTAGCATAGGTATTACATTATTTTTCCACATAATCACCATTCGGTTCAATACATTTTGTCATCTGTGGGATGAATTTTGATGCCTGTGTCATAGAAGTTTCCCCTCTGCCTTTTTCAGCCAGTTCGTCACTTCGATTTTCATTTTGTCATCGTCGGAAAAATGTTTTCCACCCAGGTGTTCCTTCAATTTAGTGAACAGATGATAGTCACTTAGTGCGAGATTGGGGCTGTGAGAGGGGTGGCTTAAAACATCCCAACCAAATGAAGTCAACAACCCTTGTGTTATATGAGCGGTGTGCGGACATGCATTGTCATGAAGGAGGCAGACCCCCACCGTCAGCATCCCACAATGTTTGTTTTGGATGGCTCTGTGAAGTTTCTTCATGGTCTCACAATATATTCCGTACCCATTTTGTCACATGCTGTCTTGACATTACATCCTCTCCATAAACTGAAACAATATTGTGATGAATCCCAGAGGCGTTCATGCCCTTAGCATTTCGGTAGCATATTGCAGAGCACACTTCACACTTGAAGGGAAACAGAATGAGGGCGCTCATCTCTAAGCTTCACCACAATGCCAGTCGTTGAGCTACTGACAACGTGCACTGCTCGTTCGTTTCCACTGGCTTCCTGCTACATGGCAATGATACCAACTTCAGAACAATCACAAAGCAATCTATGTAAGGAGAAAGTATAATATCTAAAGAGCATGTAGTATATAATTTTATCAAAATTCCCAGCATACAGCTCAATACAGTGGCATACAACAAAGTGAAAAGGAGCAACCGCTCTCAAACATAACAGTTCTAAGACTGAAAGATCCCAATATATATATAGGCTTCAGGGATACGTTTTCAATGAAGAAACCTTTCAGACAAAGTAAGCAGACAAGGAGTCACAAAGTCCAAAGGAAAATCCAAATAGCATCAGAACCCCCTCCCCCCCCCCTTTTTTCCATTTTTATTTATAAGTGCTGGCAATTTTACTAGTATTTTGATTCTGCTGTTTACCCTTTGTCTTCTGTCTTTATTTGGTCAAATCTTCCTTATCTAGAAAGGATAATATATGCTAGATTTAATTCTAAGATCAGACTGCTCTTAATCTGACCTTTCAATGGGTCTCACTCTGTAATAGTTTGAGTGTTTGTTTTCATACTTACCATATTTTGTAGTGTTTTAATATGTACTAGCCAGATTTTGTGGAGTTTTTCTTTCTTTCTAGGAGTCTCCTCTTTTGCTTTCTCCTCTATGTTATTTCTTCTGCTATGTTTGTGTTCCCTATTTCTTAGAATCTGGTTCTTTTTGCCTCTACTTTGTTATCTTATCTTACTCAACACACATTATATCTTACTCAACACACATTATATATCAGGCTATAATCTGGATTGCCTGGATGTTTGACACATTAATCTAGTGTCCAAATGAAGACAGAGTGATATCCTTGGCACAAAAAGGGACAGTGGGGGATGCATTACACCATGTGAAAGGAACAAGTTTTATGGTGTCCTTAAATGTTCAGTTTATCAATCAGCTCTAGGATTTTTTGTTCTGTACATTAATATACAATGACAGTTTGAATTGCTTAGAACAGTGTTTCTCAGCCTTCCTAATGCCGCGACCCCTTAATACAGTTCCTCATGTTGTGGTGACCCCCAACCATCAAATTATTGTCATTGCTACTTCATAGCTGCACTTCTGCTACTGTTATGAATTGTAATGTAAATGTCTGATATATAGGATGTATTTTCATTCACTGGACCAAATTTGGCACAAATACCCAATACGCCCAAATTTAAATACTGGTGAAATTGGGGGAGGATTGATTTTGTCATTTGGGAGTTGTAGTTGCTGGGATTTATCGTTCACCTACAATCAAAGAGCATTCTGAACTCCACCAACAACAGAATTTAACCAATCTTGGCACACAGAACTCCCATGACCAATGGAAAATAATGGAAGGGTTTGGTGGGCATTGACCTTGAGTTTTGGGGTTGTAGTTCACCTACATCCAGAGGGTACTGTGGACTCAAACATTGATGGATCTGGACCAAACTTGGCATAAATATTCAATATGCCCAAATGCGAACACTGGTGGAGTTTGGGGAAAATTGACCTTGACATTTGGGAGTTGTAGTTGCTGGCATTCATAGTTAAACCTACAATCAAAGAGCATTCTGAACCCCACCAATAATAGAATTGAACCAAACTTCCCACACAGAACACACATGACCAACAGGAAGTACTGGAGGGATTTGGAATGAATTGACAGTGATTTAGGGGAGATGTAGTTCACCTATATCCAGAGAGCACTGTGAACCCAAACGACTAAACCAAAGGGGTTCTTAAGACCATCAGAAATGTGTGTTTTCTGATGGGCTTTATCGTCCTCTCTGAAACCCCCTCACGACCCCCTCCCAGGGGTCCTGACCCCCAGGTTGAGAAACATTGGCTTGGAAGGCCATGTTGGTATTACTGTACTATAAAGTGCAGCGAAATAAATGTCAGCCATATTCTACACACAAGTATTTGAAATGTTTTTGAAAGAAATGTCAGCCACATCTACAAACATATATTTTATTTTTATATGAAATTGGGTTCTATGATCCAGGCTATGACAGAAGTGTTAGGTAATTGTACATAATGTCTACATTACACACACACACACACACAAATAGAGAAATAAATAGACAATAGGTTGAAACATTTTATTGGTTGTCAATTGATCCTTTCGATCTTTCTTTTTGTATATAACATAGCTTGAAATGCCAATAAGATTACAATACAGGCACTCCCCAAGTTACAAACATCTGACTTACAAATGACTCATAGTTACAAACATGAGTGAGACAACAAGAAGTGAGAGAAATCTACCCCTCAGAAGGGAAATTCACTCCTGCAAGAGTTATCATGGAGAAAAGATGTCTCCACTGAAGCTTTATCAACAATCCTTGTTTCCACAACAAGCCACATTTTTTAAAAAAAAATTCAAATTGTCATAGGGACAAAAAGTGTGGTGAAATCTTCCAAACCCCAGACAGCAAGACAAACACCAAAGGGGTCTTAACCCTTCCCTATGCTATCCACAGTGTGTGTGTATTTCGCTGGAGTTACACTTAAAAATGTACCTGTTCCAACTTACATACAAATTCAACCTAAGAACAAATTACAGAAACTATCTTGTTCGCAACTTCAAGATTGCCTGTAATGACAATGCCTGTTAACATGGAACAACTGTAAACAATCTTTGAAGATATATATTATCACGTGTAAGAATTTGCTTAATTGCACTACTTTCCCAAAAATATGAATGCTATTTCAATGTATATTCTTTTAACGTTCTTCTCTAGTTGAGTGAGCTCAGGTGAGAAGAAAAACAATTTATAAATACCAAAGGGAAAAAGAAATAAAGAAGATTTTGCTATGTGTAATTTATTGAAGCCTTTAATATCTTCTTCATTCACAGAGCCATTGCACAGAGGCTGCGATAAATATTTGGATCACTCTTTCTTACTAATATCTTGTTGAAGGGCTATCTGTGGGGTTACCATACTATCCAGTTGGTGAGATATTATTGACATTCTAAGCTTGTCAGCTCATGATCATTTGGAGCATCACCTACGAATATGCCATCCCTAAGACCGGTTATTTGTATCCTTCAGTAAACATGGTAATGACACGTGATCCTATTTTTCCCTCTTGACAGTATGGCACTATACTATGAGATATGTTCTGTTTTGTGGCTTTTGTCGTTTTCTTTTTGTTTTCATGATGTTTTATTAGTAAGTTTATAGTACTAATAAAATTTACTATAAATAAAATAATGTGCACAATTATAGTAATTTGCATAATATGCATATCGGGTGTCTGGGAAGGACTGGAATATGGCAGCCCTACCTATCTGTCAACTAAACACATATATGGAATCAGTGGTGTGTGTGTGTTGGCACATAGTAGAAAGTTGTTGACAAAATGATACCCAAGAAGGGGGAGGAGGAATGCTGATGGGTGTCAGAAAACTACCCGGCACAGTCAGGCAATGGAAGTGAGGCCAAGAGCCAAATGCTGCTTTCTCCTACTCCTTTGGGGTTTGGAATAAGACACTCTCTCTGCAACCGCGCTTGGGCAGAACAGGATTCCCACTGTCTGGCGGTGAGTGAGTGACTCTCTCCTTGTACTTTAAGGTATGGACGGATATTGGGGTTAGTAGGTAGAAGTAATCTACGCTCTCGAAAGTTTAGTGTTCTTGTTGTAGGACAAGTTTCGCTGCATGAATGACAGCAACAGCAGGGACAAGGCTGCAGTGTCGAGAGAGTCTTCTTTCCCAAGTATGTCCAATAAACACATATTTCTTTCCCAAGTATATCAAATAAACACATATTTCACTGCCTCCGGAGGTCAAAGTTGCATGTTATCTAATGCAAGGATTGTCTAGCCTTAGAAGAAAAGATGCGATGGTGCTTTTAACTAACAAGTAGGAGGAAACTTTAGGGAAGTGCCATGAATTGCAGAAGCGGGCAAAGCATACTTTTAGGAACAGACTGTATCATGACCAGGCAGAGATTTTGGCATGCTAGAAAGTGGAGAAAAAATATTGGGATAAAATAAATGGTGAGATTTATTTTATCCACACAGCCATATAACCACACAGCCATATAACCCAGAATATCAAGGCAGAAAATCCCACAAGATCTGCTTTGAAATGGGTAATCTGAGTCCACACTGCCATATATTCCAGTTAAAAACAGATCATGTGGGATTTTATTCAGCTGTGTAGAAGGAAGCTGAGAAAAAAGTGAATATTAATGGTTTAAACTACATGATTTTGTTCTTACGCACCTTCAAGTTGTTTGTGACATATGCCTAATGCGAATGTATCACAGGGTTTTCTGAAGCTGAGAGAGTGTGACTTACTCAAGGTCACCCAGTGGGTTTCCATGGTCAAGTGAGTCATTGTCCAATAATAATAATAATAATAATAACTTTATTTATACACCGCTACCATCTCCCCAAGGGGACTCGGGGTGGCTTATATGAGGCCAAGCCCAACAACACATCAGTAAAAAATGCAGAGCAATAAGCAAATAACACAATACAATTAATATAACTCACATATAGGCAATAACACACAAAAATGTAAAAAAAAATTAAAAACCTATGGCCGGGCCAGATGCAATAGTTTAAAATTTTAAAATAAATACTGGGTGCTTCTGAGGACATTTTGCAAGGAATTGGTCAGAGATGGGCATTGTTTCCTATATTCAGGAAAGGCACACTGGAACAGCCATGTTTTCAAGCTCCTCCTAAAGATTGCCAATGTGGGGGCTTGTCTGATATCCTTGGGGAGTGAGTTCTAGTTGGGGCCACTATAGAGAAGGCCCTCTTCCCTTGTCCCCACCAATCGCTCCTGCAAAGGGGGCAGGAGCGAGAGCAGGGCCTCTCAACACTCAAACTTTGCATCAAGCTGGGTCTAAACTGCAAGGCATAGAGTATGAAAATGCATAATTGTTTACACCTTATACTTTTTCTTATTTTCCAATGTGTGTGCCTTGTTTTTCAAATGTAAGATTACTCCCTCTAGAAAAGCCCATAATGAGTGAACATCTTTGGAATGTATTCTGCAGCTGTAATGAGCGAAGAAGAGGAAAAGAAAATCCAGTTCTGTAACTATAGCCATGTTTGCTCATTTGCTGGACTAATCTGTACAGCAGTTATCATACCCGTGAAATTGGGAGTGGGGAATGAATATATTTTGCCATTTAGGGCGCTCAAATGCACATTACCAAACTGGCAAATAATTTTGCTTAGCCAAAATGAAGTGGTCTTTCTAAGCAACTGAACTCTGAACAACTGAACTCACGTAAACATTTCCTAAAAGACTTTATTTCATAAAGCTGATATCATAATGTTGCAAAATTTACAAATGTTTATGGTACAATATACTGCAGATCGAGTATCCCTTATCCAAAATGTTTTGAACCAGAGAAATTTTGGACGTTTTTCCTGATTTTGGAATACCGTACTTGCATTTGAATAGTGAGATACCTTGGAGATGGGGCCCAAATCTAAATTCAGAATTTGAATTCTGTTTCATCTTATACACATAGCCTGAAGGAAATTTCATATACTACATTTTAAATAATTTTGTGCATGAAACAAAGTTTGTGTACCTTTGAACCACCAGAAAACAAAAGTGCCACCTATGTGGAAAATTTTGGATTTGCAACATTTTGGAATACCTGGTAAGGGATGTCCAACCTGTATTTATTTTTAATTTTTGCTACTACCAACAGCTTTCATCCTGGAATTCATCATCATCATCATCATCATCATCATAAAAACATGTCCAGAAAAGGGGAAAGTATTTTGAATGAGTTTAGGGAGAAAAAGGTCCTTAAGAAACCAGCAATTTTCAAATCTAGATCTCTATAGAATTGGTATGAAACAGTGAGCACAAATATGCAAGGCTCATATTGACTGCCCTATATCCCAGAACCTGACCACAGATTATTTGCTTTGAACTGGATTATATGGCAATGTATGCTAATATAATACAGTTCAAAGCAGTTAATCTGGGTTTTATATGACAATGTAGATGGGGCTTGAGACTCACATGTATTTAGGCCTGAAACTTCTTAGGCCTCTTCCATACAGATGTATAAAATCCCCATGAACTGGGTTATATGGCAAAGTGGACTTCGATAACCCAGTTCAAAGCAAATATTGTGGATTATCTACCTTGATATTCTGGGATATATGGCTGTATAGAAGGGCCCATAGGCCCCTTTTACACTGCCATGTAATCCAGATTATCAATACACATTATCTGTTTAGAATTGAATTGTAGGAGTGTAGGAGTGTACACTGCCATATAATCCAGTTCAATGCAGATAATCTGGATTTTATAGGGCAGTGTAGAAGCGCCAAAGGTCAAGAACCTTTGAAAGCCTTGTCTATTAAGATCACACTCAAATAATGGTAGAGATGTGTGTACATGTTGTATGTAATTATCCAAAATGAACATTTCCAATGTGATTCTCTTGCTTTCATGGCTTATAGCTGGCGAAGAGATGATCTCTTTTTGTAGGCCCCTTCCACACAGGTGCAAAAAATCCACATTGAACTGGATTATCTGGCAGTGTGGACTCAGATAACTCAGTTCAAAACAGATATTGTGGCTTATCTGCCTTGATATTCTGGGTTATAATGTCACTGAGGGCCCTTCTACGCAGCCATAGAACCAAGAATATCAAGGCAGAAAATCCCACAATATCTGATTTTAACTGGATTATCTGAGTCCACACTGCCATATATTCCAGTTCAAAGGAGATAGCGCAGGATTTTCTGCCTTGATATTATGGGATATAGAGCTGTGTGGAAGGGCCTTAAAAGATCGGGTCCAGAACATCTAAGGCCCCTTCCACACAGCTGAATATCTGCTTTGAACTGGAATATATGGCAGTGTGGACTCAAGATAATCCAGTTCAAAGCAGATACTGTGGGATTTTTCTGCCTTGATATTCTGGGATATAGGCCTGTGTAAAAGGGCCTTAAACGATTAGGTGCAGAACATCTTAGGCCCCTTCCACACAGCTGAATAAAACCCCACAGTATGTGCTTTGAACTGGGATATATGGCAGTGTAGACTCAGATAATCCAGTTCAAAGCAGATATTGTGGGATTTTCTCTCTTGATATTCGGGGGCTATACAGGCCCATCGGCACAGCCATATAACCCAGGGCCCTTCCACACAGCCCTATATCCCAAAATATCAAGGCAGAAAATCCCACATTATCTGAGTGTGGACTCAGATAACCCAGTTTAAAGTATATATTGTGGGATTTTTGCCTTGATATTCTGGGATATGGGGCTGTGTGGAAGGGACCCCAGAATTTCAAGGCAGAAAATCTGCTTTAAACTTGGTTATCTGAGTCCACACTGACATACAACCGAATTCAATGTGGATTTTATACAGCTGTGTGGAAAGGCCCACCGGAAATGGGAGCAACAATTCGAGGTGGAGGAGGAACCAATAAAACTCCCGCCCGCCTCGCTTTCAGAGTTCGCTCCGTGACTCTAAACAAGAGCCTTAAGCCCTGCTTCGCCCAGTAGGCGATACAAGGGGGAAAGCGTGCGTTTGTCGCGCCCGCCCGCCCGTGCGGCGCGTCTTGGCTTTGCGCCGGCTGCCTGAGGAAGGAGCAGCGTGCGAGGAACGTGCCTGGAGGAAGATGGAGGCCGACTCCTCGGTTAGTAAGAAGCCGGTTCCCCTCACTCCCCTCACTGTGGGGTTTTCAGGGAGTTGGGATGGGAACAAGAACATTCCCTGTGGTTGGGAATGAGCGGTCGGGCGAATTAGTACAGTGAGGCGATTCCTAACGAGGCCGCTTTCTGTGGCGAGGCGCGTGAGGCTCTCTTCGGAGGCCTCGCGGCGACGCTTTTCCCGCCAAAATTAAGCCAAGTAACGGACTTTGTCCTTCGGCGCGCGCGCGCCCTCTGCTTTCCTCCGCTGAGCTCGCGGCCTCCACCGGCCGTTTCGCGGCCTCGGGATTGGTTCGACAGCTTCTTGAATGAATACTCCATTGGGTTTTCCGAATTAAAAGGACCAGGAAGAAGGACTCCCTCAAAGCCCAATGAAAGCGTTTATACATACAATGGGAAAGTGAATGCCCCGATCTTTCCATCGCCACTCTCCTGCGGCCTTGGGAGCTGGATCCGCACTGCCCCCTAACGCAGTTTAGGACTGCATTGTGTGGGTCAGGGTCGACTCGTGGAATGCACAGCCAGGGACTCCGTAAACCCTCTTGGGCGCCCCTGCTCCTCCCTCCCACACTTTTCAGCGTTTCTACTCCTTTGGTAAACTTCTGCATCTCGTTTATAATAATAATAATAATCATCATCACCTATATAAATAAAAATGTAATGTTCGTTTGTGGGATTACCATAACTCAAAAACCACTGGACGAATTGACACCACATTTGGACACAAGACACCTATCAGGCCAACGAGTGACCATAAAAACATTGAAAAACACAGCAGAAGGGACTTTAAAAGACAAAAATTTACAAAAAAAATGCATTACAACGCATGCACAAAACCACATATATACACAAACACACACATATATACACAAATATATACACACACTTATACACATATATACACACACAAAACATATACATAGACTGGGCCACAGCAACGCATGGCAGGGGACAGCTAAGTAATCTATACCAATAAAAATGTAATGTTTGTTTGTGGGATTACCATAACTCAAAAACCACTGGACGAATTGACACCAAATTTGGACACAAGACACTTATCAGGCCAACGAGTGACCATTCATAAAAATATTGAAAAACACAGCAGAAGGGACTTTAAAAGCCAAAAAATTACAAAAAATGCATTACAACGCATGCCAAAACCACATATATACACAAACACACACACATATATACACAAATATATGCACTTAAACACATATATACACACACAAAACACATATACATAGACTGGGCCACAGCAATGCATGGCAGGGGACGGCTAAGTAATCTATATAAATAAAAATGTAATGTTTGTTTGTGGGATTAACAGAACTCAAAAACCACTGGGGGAATTGACACCAAATTTGGTCACAAGACACCTATCAGCCAACGAGTGACCATTCATAAAAACACTGAAAAACACAGCAGAAGGGACTTAAAAAGCCAAAAATTAAAAAATACAGTGTATGCACAAAACCACATATATACACAAATATATACACACATATATACACACACAAAACACATATACATAGACTGGGCCACAGCAACACATGGCAGGGGATGGCTAAGTAATCTATATAAATAAAAATGTAATGTTCGTTTGTGGGATTACCATAACTCAAAAACCACTGGACGAATTGACACCAAATTTGGACACAAGACACCTATCAGGCCAACGAGTGACCATCACTCATAAAAAAACACTGAAAAACATAGCAGAAGAGACTTAAAAAGCCAAAAAAATATTTTAAAAACATTACAACGCATGTGCAAAACTATATATATATATATGCAAACACACACTGCCATATATCCCAGTTCAGAGCCGAAAATGTGGGATTTTATTCAGCTATGTGGAAGGGGCCTCGTATAATCTCGTTCAGAGTTCAATCTGTGATCAGATCCTGGGATATAGGACATCCAGCCTCAGTTTCTTTATATAGCATTGAGACATGACAGTTAAAGCGATGTCAAACTGGTTTCTTCCGCAATGTGGATGGACTCTCCAATGAGGTTGAACTAAGGGCCCTTTTACACAGCCATATAACCCAGAATATCAAGGCAGAAAAATCCCACAATATTTGCTTTGCTTGTGAGTCCACAATGCCATATATTCCAGTTCAAAGTGGATAATGTGGGGTTTTATTCAGCTGTGTGACTGGAGACGAGGATTTGAATTCCAGATCAACAATGGAAATGCAAACACATTGGTTGATTTGGGGGCAGGTCACACTCTCTCAGCTTCAAGGGAAGGCCAAAGCAAAGCTCTCCTGAAGAAAGCCCAGCCACTGCAGGTTAGAAACAAAGGCACACAATGGGTCCTTCCACACAGCCATATAACCCAGAATATCAAGGCAGAAAATCCACAATACCTGTTTTGGACTGGGTTTTCTGAGTCCCCACCGCCTAATAATTCAGTTCAGTGTGGATTTTATACAGCTGTATGGAAGGGACCTGTGACTAGAGACCAGGATTTGAATTTCAGATCAGCAATGGAATCACATTGATTTTGGGCCAGATCACACTCTCTTAGCCTCAGAGGAAGGCCATGGCAACGCTCTTCTGAACAATCTTGCAATGATTGCCCAGTCACTAGAGCGCTGCAGGTTGGAAACAAAGACCTCCCTGTGCATTGCCATATAACCCTGATTATCAAATCAAATAATCCACATTATCTGTTTTGAACCGGATTATATGAGTCTGCACTGCCATATAATGTAGTTCAAAGCAGGTAATCTGGATTGTAAAGGCACACAACAACAGCAAAGAGCATAACTGAAGTGGGGAAAAAGATTACTGCAAGTTAGGGTCCTTCCACACAGCCATATAACTCAGAATATCAAGGCAGATAATCCACAATATATGCTTTGAACTGTGTTATCTGAGTCCACACTGCCATATTATCCCATTCAATATAGATTTTATACAGCTGTGCCTTAGTCATTTGTGTGGGGCAGGATGTATTTACAAATTATTTGGCCCTACTGTGTTGGTAAACTTTTGATTGAGTACTTTGGAAAATTCCCTGTTCTCCTTTATTGAGTGATTAGTGGTATGAAGGTTGGAATTTCAGTTTGGAAACCAGAGGTGAGGAAGGTTGCATTGCAGTAGGTGGTCTGTGGTTTGCTCTTCTCCACACCCGCATATTGTGGATTCCACTTTGTAGCCCCATTTCTTGAGGTTGGCTCTGCATCTCGTGGTTAAATAAATTTTAATTGTATATTGATGTTATTGGTGTATTGTGTTGTTAGCTGCCTTGAGTCCCCAAATCAGGAGAAAAGTGGATTAAATATTATGTAAATAAATAAATAAATAAAATATAGGCAGTTCCCAAGTTACAAACAATATAGGTTCTGTAGGTTTGTTGTTAAGATGAATTTGTACGTAAGCCAGAACAGGTACATTTTTAAATACAACTCCAGCATATATATTATATATATCTCAGCTTTGGATAGCATAGGGAAGGGTCAACACCCTTCCCTGAGTCATATGTAAGGTATCTAAGTCGGCTGTTTATAACTTGGAGACTGCCTGTATTTTGTATGGTGATGAAAAATAAAACACTCTCAGGTATGATAAAGAGAAGGGCAAGGACATTGGAAGCTCCTTTGCCTTCTGCTGTGCTAAAATATGAATATTGTTAACATGTCCTTGAAAATGAGTAAACCTTTTAAAAGTAAAAAAGTTGTAACTAATGCAGGTTTTGGGTTCAAATTAGAGATTCGGGAAACGTGAAAGGTAGGGTTTTTTTTCGCCCTTCAGTCTATGAAGGGCACAAGATGGATGGATTGTGTGTGTGCAGTTCTAGTCACCTGTCTATTTATGGTGCCCCTGTGAATTCCATGGGATATTCGTAGGCAAGGGACATTCAAGGAGGTTTGCCATTGCCTTCCTCAGAAATATATACATTGACTAAACACAGAACACTGGACTGCATGTGACCTTTTTGGTGATTGCAGAAGGTTTAGCACACTTGACCTTTTCGGTGTCAGAACTCATCTTTATGCCCAAGCAATGGACTATTGCAGTACCATATCTGGAGAAAAAAACAGATACTTTTTCTTTCCACCCGAGAGTCACTGGAGATTTAGGAAGACACTTGTTTCTTTTTTCTTGGTCATAGGAACTGAAGCACACACTGCCTTGCCATCATGGGATTTTTAGTTTTACAAGGTATTTTGCCTTCTCTGACAAAGTGCGCTACTGCCCTACTAAATTACATATCTCAGGATTCCATAGCATTGAGCCATGGCAGTTAAAATAATGTCAAACTGCATTAATCTTACAGTGCAGGTCACCCCAGACTTGCAGTCTCAGCTATCTGACAGAATTATTGTATCTAAGGATGCATCCTTTACAAACCTGGTATCTGAGGAATAAATATTTTTATATTGTCTGAACAAATTCAGAAAAGGCTGATACTTTTATTGGCCAACCAAAATTCATAAAACACATGATGCAAGCTTGCAGTAAGAACACCAGCAGTTTTACAGTCACAGATTTATGTCCCATCACAGTATTTTGGTGATGATCCTATTTATTTTTCATATCTGTTATAAGGGTTTGCAGCTATACCTTCTACAATAGAATTCTGTTCAGATTTTTGAAAACTGGATCTTACTTAAATTATCCTCAAAGTAATTGACACTTCCTTCACAGCATATCTGTAGGATCAGTATAAGATAACTGCTTCTTAAACTATGGGTCCTGAAACAAATGGGGTCCCTTTAACTCAATGGTGGAGTCACAAACAAATTCTGAATTTTACCTAGTAAAAGGATTCTGAACTTCACCTAGAGGCCTTTTTATACATTTCCTCAAATCCTTTAGCAACAACACTCAGTGTTTACAGCAGAGTCTACAGAAAATGTTTCAGCTGTAATTCATAAATAGAAAAATCAGACAGTTTTGCAAATTTTACAAATGCTGATTTATTATCAGTAAATGTGTAATTTTATACCTATTTCATATACTTATATATGGGGTCATGCAGAAAGGGGTTGCAACTGGGAAAAGCTTAAGCTGATCTAGATAAACATCCCCATACCAATTTATTCACTTCATTCTTTCCTCATAATTTCATGTTTCTACAGTGAGAATATGTGGTATATTTGTGCTTAGGAAGGTATACTTGGATGTAATGAGTCTTAGAGATATGGGATAATAGACATAAAGTTAATAAGAAGTAGAACTCATTTATAAGGATTAGTTCATAAGGCATGATATCACATATCTCTTCAAATGTATCTAAAGTATTAAAATGCCTACAAGAACTACAGGGGAACATGGACATTCTTGTTACTTTGAAGGGCAGGAAGGAAGTTGGTAGAGAAGTCTCCATGCCATTAGCAGTATCAGGAGGATTTATATGAGATCAGACTGCTACTGTCAGTATTCTTGAGCTAAATTGGAACCCTCTTTCATGAGATCTGGAAATTAGGAGTCTGGTAGAAAGCATTATCACATCAATTTCAGTTAATATTTTGATATTGGTCTGGAAATTCTAGCTGGCAGGATTTGGTGGCTATTCATTATTCTTACTAGTAAGGTATAAAGTCTCATCCTGTCACAATAGTGCTGCCTTCTTAACAGTACAATATGAAACTGATTTAGAAATTAGACTTTGTGTGCAGTGCTATGTAAATAAAAAGAAAGATCTGTTAACTTTAATTTTTTTGTAGAATTGAGAAAGTATAAGTATTTTCATATCTGCAGTAAATAAGCAATGGCTACTATTTGCCAGAGGAGTTTGTTCATATTACTTTTGTGAATCCATAATTAAAAGTCGATAATAGCTCTTACCAGCATTTTGTTCTCTTACCCAGCAGACTCCAAATCAGATGCAAACTGATTCTTTGTCTCCATCTCCTAACACTGTGTCTCCAGTGCCTTTAAATAACCACACAAGTGCCCCAAGATTTGGAACTGTCATTCCTAATCGCATCTTTGTTGGCGGAATTGATTTTAAGGTATTTTTTCCTATCCTTAGATTAACAATAAGCATAATAATGTTAAGATATGTGGCGTCATATATTTGCTTTTATCTTGTTGTTTTGTCATATGGACTTATGAGGCTTATCCAATTAGAAACCCTGTGTGCCCACGAGTTAAGCATTTAGGGACATGCCCAAACTCTGCAGCTGAGGAATATACCTCACTTTCCAAGTTACGGGATCAACACATCGATTTTTGTTCATGTGGAATTCCACTTCTATCATTCTCAGTGGTTTTCTGATGTCTAGATCCTTGCCCCATGGTAACACCACACATCTTCAACTAAATAATAAACTGGGGGGGGGGGGGCATTTGTATTAGAAAGACACCTGCCTTGTGTTGTTTCTTTGTGCCCTATTTTCTGCTCACCACTAAGGTTGTAATTAACTAAAGAACCAAGTCAGTATGGAGACAGTTTTAAGGTAACCTATGATAAATGTTTTAGGTACGAAATGATGCAATCTGTTTATATCTACCAAGAGGTGAGACCCTATTGTTTCTCCTTCATAGTCTTCCTGACTCACACAAATGGGTAAACATTGTCTGCACAGTGAATGGCTCAAAAGGTTCTAAAGCTATTACTTAATGTTTTTTTCTAGTACCCTGCCTACCCTTGGGTGCCTTATCCTCTTGCTTCCCACCTAAATTCTCAGTTATTTTTGGTCCACCACTACAGCAGCACCAGAGGAACTATTCTAAGTGTTTCTTTTTTGACTTTCTTACTCAGATTTTGGATTGTAATTAATTTTTGGTAATTGTCCCTTTAGTAATTGGCCTTTGGGTTTTGGATTGGTAATTTGTGTTGTGATTTGGATGGCTGTTTTCCTTGGCTTAGTTTGACTCAGATTGTTCAATTCAACTTCTGTCTTCCATTTCCTTTGATGACTGATTTACTTCCTCTAGACCTTTTTTAAGAAGTGTGCTGCCTTTTAAGAAGTGTGCTGGGGATACAACGGCCATTTTCAGAGCTCAAGTGCATAGATGAAAACCACAATGTGGTGTCTTGTTTTTGTTGCAAAACCTTCACCCCACTGCCATGTAAGAACTAGTGTTTCAGGCTTGAGGCTCTCCTGTATGAGCAGACATTGTCAGTCTCTATTAAACTTTCTGCATTGACTTCTGCATTCATTCCACCTCAGTCTTCTTGGTTCCTTTGGCGGGCAAGAGACCTTTGCAGGATATGGTTTTTCTCAGAGCATCAACAAAAGATGGCTCTAAATATTGTGCTAATATCCAGTCCAAAGTGCCCTTGACACAAGGTCACTCTCTCAACTTTGAGAGTTTCACTGTTAATCAAACGAGAAGAAAAAGAATAATTCAGAGTATTCCCAGGATTCTCAACTGGTGTCATCGTCTTGTCAGCCCACCTTGGAACACAGTTCCAGTTAATTAGTACTGAATTGGGATCAGACAAAGAAGCATCAGTAACAAACTAAGATGAATTTGATTCCTGATGATCCTGCAGCAATCTTCTGGGATCATACAAGTTGGTTCTCCATTAGAGGGGGTGGGAATTATTGATTTCCTTTCTGTACAGCCTCAGAGGTCACCTATTCCGTTGTTCTACATTTGAGAAGTTCAAACTCCAGTGCAAATTTGTGAAGAATTTACCAAATGTTTCATCTTGGCCTTGTTGTTAATGCTGTTGTCACCTTCTCCTTTCTTAATGGATACCTTTCATAGTGGGAGATTCTCTTCCTCTTCCAGATTTCATGTGCCCATGTACAAATTACCATCACATCACTGAAGGATCACAGAATCTCCACCCACCTTTCTTTCCAATCAGTCTATTCACTATGCAAAAACTCCCATATTACCATTATGCATGGGGTTTCCATAACATCAGATTCGTGGGTACTTGATATTGCCTGAAGGGGAAATGCTATAGAGTTTTGATACTTATCCCCCATTTCTGCACTCTTATTGAGAAAGCCAACACCCTCCTCAAAGATGATTTTTTATATTTGCCCCACGTTCATTGATTCCACAGGTGTTTGCCTCCCTCTAATTCAGGATGCCAATTTTTACATGTGACCCAGATGACTCTTGTAGGGCAACTATGAGTTCCAACTTCCTTCTGTTACAAGAAAATGATTGGTTTGCAATGTTGGATTGAAGGATGCTTATTTTCATATCAGAATCCAGCTGTTGCATTAATGTTTCATTTTCTTTGTTTTGATAAGGCGGCCCTATCAGTTTCGCCTTACTTTTGGAGTAAGGCACCCCCCCCCCAGGTCTTTACAAAGTGCTTTGTAGTGATGGCTGTTGGGCTCAGGCAACAAAGGAGCTCGTGTTCTCATAATCAACAACTACTTATTGGCTGCCCATTCCCAGGAAAGGCTGTTCAACAATATTGATATTATGCTCCATCTACTTGGTTCATTAAGCCTTGTTGTAACTGGGAAAAGTCTTATCTTGTACTATCATAGACTGTAAAATTAAGCAGTGCTATTAATTTAGTTTACCACCCAGCTTAACCATATCAGTCCTTCTTTGAGCCTAACTGAGCTATCAGCACAACCACATAGTAGCTACAAAATGATTGAAGTGGTCCTTGAATGCCTTCCACCACATCAATAATGCTGAAAGCAAGACTCGGGATGTGGAAGACCACATCCTGAGTCTTGCCATCAGCATTACTAGACAAACCTAGTTCCTGTCCGACTTTGATCCATTGATGGACTCTGCTTGCTGGTCCATGATGCCAAGGACTGTTCATTGATCTCCAGCGTGGTGGATCAATCCTGTGATTGTTCTCCTTTCTCTCTCCATAACCACAGATAGATATTACAACTGATGGTTTCATGGAAGGATTGGGCTAATATAAATGGTCTTGGTACAGGAACATTGATTGACTGAAGAAGCTATTCTCCACATCAGTGCCCTTCAGATGCTAGGTGTAGACAAAGGATTTTGCACCTTTAAAATTTTTATACAGGAAAAGGTTGTTCAAGTGTTTACTAAAAATGCCACAGTAATGTGGCAGAACAAAGTGTAGCACTTTGCTTTATCTTATGCACTGTGAGATTGGTGCACCTGAAGGAATATCTATATCATAGCCATCTACTTAGGGAGGAGAGCATCCTGTCAGCAGTCTTGGTTTCGTATCACCACCTTTCCACTGGATTTTCTGTTTCAGTGCTTGTCAGAAGAAGAACTTGCATGGTGATGCCATCCTTTTTCATTGGGGGTCGTCTCCTGGTCTTTACCTGTTCTCCATTTCCTCTCATGACCTCTCATATCCAAGATCTGAGAGACAAGGTACGGTGCATTCTGAGCACATCATGGTGGCCCAGGCAGCCATGGCTCACTTCCCATTACATCTGTCTCAAGGCAAACATATCAAGCTTCTGTAATATCCAGACTTTCTCCTGATCCACAACATCCAAGTGAGACAATTAAACTTGGGACACTTTCAGGCTGACTGACCGAAGGGAGTTTCTTTAACTTCTCTCTCTGATGCCCTCAGGCAGATAATTCTGGCAGTTCATAGACTTTCCATTCAACATCTTTATGCGTACAAATGGGAGAGATTCCTTTTCTTTCTGTTACCTGGAAGAATCTCCCCAGTTAAAGCACACATCCACATTGCGCTTGAATTTGCTTTCTCCCTTTCAGATAAGTCTCTATTTTGCTATCATCAAATGCTATTAACCTCCTATTTCAGCTAACTTCCAGGGTCGGCAACCCATCATGTTTTTAGCACCCTGTGGTAAATAAATTCCTTAAGAGTTATACAAATCTTCATTCTTCTATTTGTTCCAATGGAGTTTGTAGATTGTGCTGTCTGAATTAGCAAGAAAGTTCTTTGAACTAATGGTGTCTTGTAATCTCCACCAAATTACTTGGAAGACAATTTTTACATCTGCCAAAAGAGTAACGATTTACCATCAGAGTAAATCAACGTTGCCTTCAGTTTCATTAGAACAATGTAGTTTTCAAGCCAGATATCTCCTTTCTACCCAAAGTGGTATCAGCCATCTCTATCAATTGGGATATTGTGTTTCCTGCATTAATACAGAACCTTACCTCAGGTGTGGAGCAGACCATTTACTGCCTTGATGCCAGATGAGCCCTAGTGGGATACCAAAAATCTCATAGGTTCATAGTTCGTTATTTTTCAAAGAGAAAATAAGTGTTTGTTTCTTCTCAGTGATCCTCAAAATGTTTTTTTTTTCCAACCATTCATCTGGATTATGAACTTTCATCTGGATTATGAACTTTCCAGTCTATGTCCATGGCTACTCGACCAGGATTCTTCACCTGCCTTTCTCAGGGGTATGCCAACAGAAGTGTGTAGAGCAGCTATGTGGTCATAGCCTTTGATCTTCCTTTCCCAGTACAGATTAAGTGTACATTCCAGAGCTGATGCTGCTTTTGATAGAGCAGTACTGTTTTCTTCCTTGTCACAGCATTCCTTCACCTAGGGTTATTAGCTTGCTAGTCTTCCATTTGTATGAGTCATGGAGACCAGAAGGAAGGAGGGCAGGTTGCATACCTGTAACTAGCTCTTTGAATGCTCATCTGTGAACTCAGACAACTCTGTCTATCCTTCCCTTGTCATGTCTTGCCTTTCTAGATTATTAGATATTGGTGCTGTGGTATCCATGGAACAGAGGGTATAGATCAGACGTGATGGTGCGGGGATGAGATGCCAAAGGATAGCTAGAGTTACTGCCAGACACTTTATGTTCAAGAAAATTCCAAACAGTGTATTGCACAAGTGCAGATTACTCAGCTCTCATCCAGATTGATAGCCAGTATGGTGCACTGGTTTGGGTTTTGGATTAGAACACAGGGAGATCGTGGGCAAGTTACACTCTGCCTCAGGAAAACAAGTGAAACCCCACCTCAGCAAATTTTGCCAAGAAAATCCCATTAATAAGTTTGCTTTAGGATTAATAAGTTTGCTTCAGAAATTATTTGAAGGCACACAGTAACTTCCATCCAAGTTATTGATGTGCATGCTGAATAGCATTAGGCCCAGGACAACTTTTAAAATCTTTTTTAAAAAACCCTTTGGAGTGGATGGTATAAGCTTATTAGTGACCCCATTTGTGTGAGGCTTAGATACCACAAACAATCTGGGGCTTTTTAGTGGTCATTTGAGCCTCCACACAATACACTCTACCTCCCCTTCATTTCTGATCCCTTTATTACTATTTTTTCTCAGCCAGCTTTGAAACTGCAGGAAAGTTACTTTTTTGGGCTAGGACATGTACAGTTAAAGAAGGGGTGTGGCATTGTGGCCAAAACAACTTGGCTCTAGGGCATTCTAACAGGTCTCTGCACAGGTACAAACCCATTTGTGTGAAAGCACAGATGACAATCTGAAGAAATGCAGTTACAAGTTTCCTATTTTTTCCCCTTACATTACATGTAAATATTTTTAAGAGAATAATATGATGATTTAATCTTTGTTTTGTTTTGTTTTTACTAGACTAACGAGAATGACCTAAGGAAGTTTTTTTCCCAGTATGGCTGCGTGAAAGAAGTAAAAATAGTAAATGACAGAGCTGGAGTATCGAAGGGGTTAGTAAAATAATGCATCTCCAAAATAGAATTTGCAATAGTTTGTATAACATTTGTAGAAATAACTGGCAAGACCATATGCAGCCTCCGGTCATATTTTACCTACCAAATAGACAAAAACAGGATGCGACCTAATATAAGTTATTCCCTTTCATTTATCCCAGTAAAAAGGAACAGAAAAAAATTGATCCCATCCCTGCAGCTTTTTCCATTTCCTCACCACATTCTTCCAAAAAATGACTATAAAATTGCTAAGAGTTATTTGGTGGAGATGTACAATATATTACCTCTGATGTTTCATTATATCCTAGAGTGGATTATGTTCATTTCCAAGTTGTTTATTAAAATTATAAACATTTTATTTATAAAAAGTAGAAATATAAATGTGTTATTTTTGAAGTGAATTAAAATTATTAATATTAGTTAACAACTATAAGAATAACAATGCAGTAGCAAATGAGACATATATTGCGTAAGGTATCTGAGCACTGTTTTTGCTAACCCAACATCATTAACTTGGAAATCTAATCAGAAAAATGTTGATTCCCTACCTGGTTGAATGCTTAGTTTTCAAATGAAACTTTTATGTTATCTTTCCCAACATATTATTTTAATAATATTTAATATTCTCTCTAGTAGGCAGAATCCTTAGCTAAAGTATACAGTGATTTCATACATACATTAAATGTGTTCCATCTTACTGCTCTTTCTCCAAAGAACATTAATAAGAGTAAACGTAGACTTCTGTATTTAAATGTGTAGATTTATACTGTAGTGTATACACAATAGGTTAAACTGAAAGTAATTGTTTAGTCCAGGCCTTCACAACTTGCCAGTAGTAAGTGGCTGAAATTAAATAAGCTTAGCCCTTTGGGTCTGCAAATAGGTTTTTAGCACCTCACTTTCAAAGTAAGGTTTAATTAAAGATTAATGAGGATTGTTGTTGGATAAGAAAAGCAGCCCCTCCAGACCCCCAAGATGGATAGGAAGGGCAGCCCTTTCAGCCCCCAAGCTGGATGCCTTTCCTATCTTATCCATCCTATCCATCTCCAGACTCCGAAATGCATAAGAAGAACAGCCTTTCCACGCACAAAATTAAAAAAAAAATATTGTGCATAACATTATCCTCAGGGTAAATGTATAAGGTATATATGAAATATAAATGAATTTCGTGTTTTGGTTCAGATCCCATTTCTAAAACATTTTATTATGGTCTATGCAAGTATTCCAAAATCCAAAATACAGAAGAGTTCTGGTCCCAAGCACTTTGGATGCTTAATCAGTAGAAGCAGCACCTAAAAAACTGTGTCTCTGGCCTAAGAAAGGAGATTCCATCTGAACATTAGGAAGAACTTCCAGACTCAGAGCCGTTCAGCAGTGGAACCCTCTGCCCTGGAGTGTGATGGAGGCTTCTTTGGAGGCTTTTAAACAGAGGCTGGATAGCCATCTGTTGGGGGTGCGTTGGATACAATTTTCCTGCTTCTAGGTAGGGAGTTGGACTGGATGACCCATGAGGTCTCTTCCAACTCTATGATTCTATGATTCACCACCCTGACAGAAAGAAAAGTCCATCCCTCCAGCTCCCCAAGAGGGATAGGTTGGGAAAGCCCTCCAAACAGTGGCGGGAGGGGGAGACGGGGCATTCAAATGGCAGTGGAGACATGCAAGCAGTGTGCGGGGAGGGGCATGCAAATGGCAGGGGGCAGCCGGGAACACGCAAGAGGCAGAGTCAGGGGCAAGGGGGCAGCACTTAGTGGGCCGCACCAACGGGTTCTATTGGCCATATATTGGTCAGACCTGGTTTAGTCTTAAGATTCAGTTAATTCCATTGTGTATGAATTTGAGCCACATTGTGCCAAAACTTTTCCCTTCAGGAGTCATATTCTCTGATGGAGTATGTCAAGAGTTATCAGTTAGTTATAGCATCAAACATGGCAAGAATCATCTAACTTTCTTAAGAATATCACCCTGCACTGTTTCTTTTTTTCTCTTAAAAATTATAGGAGAGAAAAATCATGTGAAATGGTGATACACATGCCCCACTACATCCTATCAATTTAAAATAGTGCTTATGGTATTTTGTGCACAAGATTCAATGAACTTTTTCAGTTTTGATACATTTGAGGGGGGGAAAGGAAAGTGTGAATCTGACTGGATCTACATTTTCCAAACCTTTCTTGCTACTGTATAAAACAGTCTTGTATATCTCTATTTCACAGGCAAGATTTCCATGGAGTGGACCAGAGGTGGTGCAAGCCACATAATATAGCAGAAGTGCACTAGTGATTTTCTCTTCACAATAAGAAACTTTTCTTCATCTTAGTGTTTTTATAGCCAGCACTGTATCTTTGCAGAGCACCAATTGGAACCTCCTAGAGCTATTACAAAAGCTTTTCAGAGGTAGCAACACCTACCCTCTCAGTGTCACAGCCTCACTGTTGTTGCCTAATCCCTCAGGGTTTGGTTTTTTTTTTTTTCCATCTACTACAGCAACAGCATCAAGGGAACTATTTGCAGCTGCTTTCTTTGGTGTTTGGATTTGTCAGTTCTTTATTCCTCTCTTCTTTGAGATGTAGCTTAGTTTTTCTTTAGTAACCCCTTTTGACTTCTTTTGGCCTCTGATCTTCAGTTGGACTTCACCTGTTTTGAGTATGTTTTCATCATTGGATCTGTATGGTTGTTGTTGCTGCTTGGCTCAGGCAAGAGAGTATCATGATATCCCTTGACGATATCGAGCATACACTCACTAGACTTTTTTGTTAACTTTGAAAAATGTTGCCTGATACAATCTCAAATAGTAAAGTTTATTGAGGCCATTCTAGATTCCTGAACATTTACACCTCTCTCTCAGACTAAAGGTATTGGGTTCTCCTGTTGGTAGCATCAGTGTGTTGTGGCAATTGAAGACTGTCCTCAAAAGATAGTCCAGGTACTTCTCAGGTGTACGTACTGCAATAATGTCATTGACGAAACTCAGAATTCATCCTCTTCGGTCATGGCTTTTGTCTCGCTTCAGTACCCTGTGGGACTTCTGCAGTTTCATCTCAACATACCAAAGAGAGTTTATTTGTTCCTAGAATAGCAACGTGATACCAACAATGTCCAAAGTAGCATCTCCTTCCTTCCTTTATTACCTGAAATAGTGCTCATGACAGATACCTTCTGGACTGGAGGAGTCCGTATGAAAAGTCTTTCAGTAAAGGACAGATGGATCAGCAAGGAAGGTGTACTCCACATCAAGGTGCTACATAGGTTGATGGTGCAAAAACATTTTGAGCATTGAACACATTCCTACAGTGCCATATGGTTCCAGGTCTTTACCAATGACACAGCAATAATGGATTATTTAAACAAGCAAGTAGCACAAAATCCTGCTTCATCTCACTCTGCACATTAATCACTGTGATATCGAAAACCCAAATGACCATGTAAAATGCATTGTTGCACCTCAGCAGGAGTTCACCTTGCTCACAGCACTCACCGGGAAACCAGATGTGGTAATAAACAGTTTACTGATAAAACACATATAAGAAAGGGCCAAAGGCATCTTAAGCAAATAATAGGGTAAAAATCCAGGTGTTAATAAAGAAAAATTTTACTTGCTCAGTATAGTGGCCCTTTATCAAGTCTGGGACATCAATATCATGGCATTTCACTGGAGGGCAATTTCATTGGGCTAAACTACCCCCTCCAACAGTTCTGTGAGCTTGTTCCACAACATCTGGATGAAGAGCATGTCATATCTGGTTTGCTTTGTGTTTATTATAATCAATATAGTATGTAATGCATTTGAACACCAAGTGTATTCAATAGATACATAGTAAATGCCATTTGTTTCCTTGTTGTAGTCATAGAGCTCTTTTTATGTGATTATAGAGTAGAATTTTAAATCAGCATCGAATAGAAGTTATTTAGAAAGTTTTAAAATACAATTTATGCTGTTTTTATTAGGTATGGTTTCATCACATTTGAAACTCAGGAAGATGCACAAAAGATTTTACAAGAGGTAATTTTTAATATATGTGTATGTATTATATATGCTTAGATATGTACCTGTATTACTTAATTACAGTTACATTATGCATATTTATTCTATGTACACCTGTACTTTTAATTCTTTACAAATGTTAGTGAACTATTTTATCTACCCTCACGAGAAATATTTTAGCTACACGGTTATGTTAAGTGATCACCACTCTTATGTGTGGAGGAGAATCCTGTAACACAGAAGTGGGTAACCTGAGATCACTGGTTACAGCCTGGCCACTAGTCAAAGATGATGGAGATTTTATTCCAGTGACACAAGCTCCCCATTCTTTCCATAACAGAATGCCCTTATTTGGCTTAATTGCATTTTTAACATAGTGTGTGATTGAAGTATAATTTAAATGAGATGCATGTTAAAAACATTTTACCATTCAGATCAGGTTTCACATTCAAAATGCTCTTGATTTAGGTTCAGTACAGTAGTCATATATCAGCCATACCATGACACTTACAGATTCAAAAGTCGTATGCTAGCAGTACTGCAAACAGAAAACACCCACCCCTTAGTCCGCATAAGAATCAAGGCTGGATGTTTGCACTGCTCTCAGACACAAGAAAGTCTGAGAGCACTTCCGGACACTGCCAAAACCCACATTTAAAATGGGGGGGGGGGGTCGTCTAGGACCTGACTACAGGTCCCCACACTGAATAATATACACTTACCATTTCATTTAGAAAATGTTATTTTGGTCCAACTATGGAATTTCTGTAATAATTATTATGATTCACAAACTTCCTTGCCACTACACACAGCATGTTTCACTGTAGCCAGCATCTATTAAAAGTTGACCCGATAGATATAAGTGTTTGATATTGTGTCATTATTAAAACCATATCATTTTCTTTAAGAATTCACAATGGGGCTGTATCTAATTTAAAAGCCTAAATGGAGCCACTGTTTAAGCAAATATGTGTCCAAATGGCAGAAGTCTTAAGAACTTGCCAACAAATAAGCAGTAATTTCTTCATTTCAGTCTTGGAAATTATCACCACTAAGAATGTTCTACACCATCAAAGATTTTGGCAAAGATTTTAATTTAGGTCCACAAGACATTTCCATTAGAATATGAGGTGAAATGCAAATGCTTCTGTTCAAATCGTTATAGTTAGTCTGTTAGCATACTCATAATTTCAACACAATAAAATACATACATTGAAGCAATTCTCTATATATTTTTGTTTTCTTTAGGCTGAAAAACTAAATTACAAAGATAAGAAACTAAATATTGGTCCAGCAATAAGAAAACAACAAGTAGGGATTCCTCGTATGTATTTGCTTGTTTGCTTCCCTCCTTCTTTTTTGCGAAGGTGATAAATGTAATGGGAAAAATCTGAGATCATTCTAAATGATGTAGATCAGTGTTTCTCAAAGTGAAGCCCATAGTCAGAGACTTTGTTCTTTCCTTCTCCCCCTCCCAAGTGCGCAGCGGGGAAGGAGGCACCAGTTGGCGGGTTCCCCTGCCAGGAGATGTGCATACAGGTGAAAGAGCCCACTGCTGAAGCAGCCAGTGCTGAAGTGCCAGCCGCAAAAGCAGGTGCCACCAGAGTGTGGTAGAAGGGGAAGCGTGAAGTGGGTCCAGGTGGGTGGGAGCAGTATTGCCAGCAGAACTTTCCATGAAGAGTCACCTTGGGGGGGGAGGGTCCTATAGATTTTGGGCTGGGGATACAGAAGCAGTGCCAGCGAGGAAGGTGGCCTCCAGGCCCCGCGGGGCAGAGGGGGGGGGGTTAGGGCCAGCCACAAGGACCTTTCTGGAGGGAGCGGGTTCTTGCCCACCAAGGACTCGATGGAGAAGCAGCACTTGGACCCTGCTGCCATCGCCATCCAGGGCTGGAACATGCTGAGGCTAGCAACCCCAGCTGTGAAGCTCTCCCTTCCCCTTCTCCCTACTTCTCCCTTCCCCTTCCATCCCTCCTTCTCTTACCATGCAGACTCTTTCCCCCGTGCCTTCCTGGCTTCCAGTACACTTTTCCTGCATGGCAGAAGGGGGTTGGACTGGATGGCCCCTGGGGTTTCTGCTATTATTATTATTATTATTATTATTATTATTACTGCTGCTACTACTACAAAGGCTGGATAGCCATCTGTTGGGTATGCTTGGATTTGTGCTTATACTGAGTGGCAGAAGGGGTTTGGATTGGATGGCCCCTAGGGTTGCTTCTATTATTATTACAAAGGCTGGATGGCCATCTGTTGGCGGTGCTTTGATTGTACTTTTCCTCCAGGGAGGACACTTTGAGAACCACTGATATAATATATAAACATTTCTTGGAGCTCCAAGAGAAACTTCAAAAAGGGCTCCATGACTGAAAAAAAATTGAGAACCCATGCTGTAGACAATTATTTGGTATTCTGTTCGGCTACTATCAACTCTAAAATGTCCTGATGAAGATGGTCTGCTTTTTTTCTAATTAAAGATAGTGAAAAATATTTAGCCCAGCATGTCTTTTGTGGTAGAAAAGGGTTCTTTCTTTCCATTGCATTCATCCCTTTCACAGAATATTCTGTATCATTTGTTAATGTATACCATTAATTTAATTAGCAGTAATCTTAATGTTAATTAATGTTTGCACTTTAATTATTAATACATATTCTGTAAGCAATGCTGTTCCAGTGAAAAAAATTGTTTTACCTCTTCTTGCTACAGTTCTCTGCACTTCAATCAAATCCTTTTGTGGATTAGTGAATCTCCTCCCCTAATAGTGTTAAATGCTCTGCAAGAGTTATACTTACCTGGAAATTAGGGGCACTTCCACACAGCCGTATAATCCAAAATATCAAGGCAGAATAACCCACAATATCTGCTTCGAACTGGAATATCTGAGTCCACTTCCATATATCCTAGTTCAAAGGAGAAAATGTGGGATTTTATTCAGCTGTGTGGAAGAAGCCTAAGGAATCTGCAGCTTGCTTGCCCAAGAGCTCCCAGGCCATATGTATTAAAATAAACACCATTATTCCCGTTCTCATTGTTGTGTTCATTTAAATCGGCAAAGTGTGTGTGCATTTATTTTATTTTATTTCAGGGTCCAGCATAATGCCAGCAGCTGGAACCATGTACTTGACCACTTCAACTGGATATCCATACACATATCATAATGGAGTGGCATACTTTCATACTCCTGAAATTACTTCTGTGCCACAGCCATGGCCTGTAAGTATTTATGGGACAATGCTGTCATGTCTGATTTCGTTTACCATTTCAAGGATCTTGTTTCATTTTACTTGCTTTTCTTTATTTTTGCTTGATATGTAAGCTCAAAGTACTAGCCAAGTTCTTGATGTTGGTCACAAATTATTAGAATGGATACATAATAGTGTTACATCTCAGATTGTGTGATTTTATTTCATAGAGCTATTGCAGAGAAACTTTCATGAAAGATGGAGTACTACAAATTATGAACAATAGTTAGAACAATCTAAAGGGTGGGTGGGAATATGGAGGAAGCCTTACTCAGCTCATGTAGGAGAACAGGTGAAGGAGGTGGGGTGCAAATAGAGGATAAAGAAGTACATTAGCCCTCCCATACAGGACAGTGAAGTGGAATAGTTCATACACTCCTAAATAGATTTCTTAATCTGGTGTTTAATATCACTGATCAAATGCTTTGTGCTTTAATAGCTGAATGCTTGGTGTGTTTCTTAGTATTTTTTTAAAGACTGTTATAAAATTTTGATTACCTGTCTCTTTTTTTTAAAGTCACGTTCTATTTCCAGTTCTCCTGTGATGGTAGCTCAGCCGGTTTATCAACAGCCTACATACCATTATCAGGTAAAACCTCAAATTATCTTTGGTAAGACTATGGCCCCTTCTACACTGCCATATGATCCAGATCATCAAAGTAGATCATTCACATTATCTTTTTGAACTGGATTATATGAGTCTACATTGCCATATAATCTAGTTCAAAGCAGATAATCTGGATTTTATATGGCCGTGTAGAAGGGGCCTAGGACAGTAAAGAAAGTAATAATAGTTGCATTGTAACTGTAATTACAGTGGGCCCACTGTATTCACAAGGATTTATTTGCAGGACTCTGTGTGGATACATAAAAAGGGGGTGATCACATCCCACATTAAATAACAACAAAATAAACATGCACACTTCAGTGTGTCCACATTCAGATCACCTTCACTTAATACTTCAAGGCAGGATGGTCGACAGTCGGTGGAAACCGCTGATCAGGAGCCAGCCATTCCAGAGGGTCTACTATATGATATGCTATCACAGAAGAAATGTAGTCTACAGAAATGTTTGCTTTGGTTTTCATTGGTTTATTTTACTTTTTTGGGTTATCAGCAATATTTTCCACATTTGTTAACTGAAAAGTTATGGATTATGAATGTGACCATGTGAAATGTTAGCACACTGTGTTTTCAATTATTATAGGCTCCTGCTCAGTGTCTTCCAGGACAGTGGCAGTGGAGTATTCCACAGGTGAGTGAAGTTTAGTCTCTATTGTCTGTTTGTTTGTTACATGTGTGATGCACATTTAATGCAAAGAGCTCAAGACAGGAAGAATGATTTCCTTCCTCCACTTCTGTCATTCATTTGCAGATAGTTCTCTGTCTTGGGGAGGACACTCCTAATATTTTGGAGTAAGGCATCACTCCAGTCGGTTCCACACAGGGCTTTAACCTGTGCCTAATCAGGTTTCTTAAACCCGATTGCGTGCAGGTTAAAAACTGCATACCTCCCTCCAAAACCCATGTGTTTTATGGGAATGCCTAGATGCCTTCCAGCAGGGCATTCAGACACCAAAGAGAATGCATCGGAAAAGGCCTAAAAATTACTTACCTGGCCACCATTACTGTGCTGCTGGAGTTCTACTGACATGTAGAAATGATGCGTTAGGAGAAGGGGAAGGGGGTGAGGAGGAAAATCGCTCCTCACCACCCTCCCCTTCTCCTGCTGTGTCATTTCTATTTGCCAGGAGAGCTCCAACAGCATATTGGCAGCCGGGTGAGTAATTTTTTCAAGGGTTTTTGGGGAAAAGGTTACGGCTCTCTGGGTTTTCCGTGCTGATTGAGCCCAGTAAACTCGAGAGGGCTGTGTGGATTGTCTCCAGAGAAGTCCCAGGACTTCAAAGGGGGCAGTCCCCACAAGGCTCATACAGGATTAGACCAGGGCCTTTCAGGAAGACCCGACTCTAATCCAGTTCCTAATTAATTCAGGACAAAGGGTTTTGCTGCTTTGTCCCAAATTAATGCGGCTAAAGTGTGCAAGCTCGTGCATTATGGGCCTTGTGTGGAAGGGCTCTCAGCCACCTGAGGGCCCTTCCAGACAGGCCCTATATTCCAGAATCTGATCCCAGTTTTCCTTTTTATCCCAGATTATCTGGCAGTGTGGGCTCATATAATCCAGTGTGGACTCATATAATCCAGTTTAAAGCAGAAAACCTGGGATCGGATCTTGGATATAGGGCCTGTCTGGAAGGGCCCTGAAGCTATGGGTTTTCTTTGTCATAATAGAGATTATGAAGAAAAGAGATAAAGTGGAAAGATTATACCAAGTCAAGGTCTTTAGCAGCCTCGGTTGCTGAGGAGGAATTGAACCCACTGTCTCTTTCTAGGCCTTTTTATTAGTCATTGTTTCAATAAAGGCATATAATGCAAGCAGCAAACTGATGGTACCTGTGGTATATTAATCACATTGGAAAAGGCACAGCAGGCATTGAAGAATTTGGAAAGTAGACAAACTGGGTTCCATTTAAACTCACGGCCTATTTCCAATAACTTCAAAGTAGATAAATTCGTATATTAAAAATATTAAGTTTATACATGTTGGTTTATTGTTTTATTTAGTCATTATTTTTTAAAATACTGGCTGGCATAGTATTCAGTAATTACAGTATTGTAAGTCTGTATTACATTGTTGCATTCCCTTTTTTGTAATTCTGCATTCAAAATCAAAAAGTCCCCCTGAAATCAACCTTTTGAGTGGTATAGCCAACTCATTACAGCCATTTTCATCACCAGTGTGAGAATTATCATATTGTTAGGGGCTGCACAGCTGAAAATGTACTTTTAAAGAATAACAGCAGGAGCTTATGACTATAGCTATGTTTTCCCATGGCCACTTTTTGAGATAGTTTCATATACAGGCAGTCCCCAAGTTACAAACAAGAGAGGTTGATTCGATTTGAATAGCATAGGGGAGAGTTAAAACCCTTGTGAAGTTCGTTTTACTGCCTGTGCTTCTGTTCAAAAGATTTCACCACACTTTCTGTCTCTGAGAATTGGATTTTGAAAGATTTGGCTTGTTGTAGAAACAAGAATGGGTGATAAAGCTTCAACTGAAATGTTTTCTCCCCATGATAACTCTTCCAGGAGTGAATTTCCTTCTTTAATTTTGATCTGCCCACCATAGTCCTGGTCCTGGTTGTTGAGACTGGCTTTGATTTATTTTAATGACTTTTTTTTGTATTTTACTGTTTTAGCTGTGTAATTAGATTGTCACATGCTTATTGTGTTTTTGATATGTTTTTACTTGTCTAACTTTGTTGTTATTGAGCTTGGTCCCGCTTGTAAGCCCCCCAAGTCCCTTCAGGGAGATGATAGCAGGATATTAAATATATAGAGGGGGATATTTCTCTTACTTCCTGTTGCCTTACCCCTGTTCTTAACTATGAATCATTTGTAAGTTGGGTCTTTGCCACTCAGGGACTGTCTGTATAATAATTGCTGTGGCTGTATTGGAATTATTGTTATCTCCTCTAGTCTTTAATGTTTGGAATTGTGCAGGAATTTTTATTTTATTTTATTTCAGTCCCCTGCCTCTCCCACCTCATTCTTTTACCTGCATCCTTCTGAAATTACATATCAACCACTGGAAATTACACAGGATGGTGGGTGTGTCCCTCCTCTTTCGCTAATGGAAGCTGCAGTTCCAGAGGTATTTATGTTTATCTTTAAAAGCTGCATATATCTTGTATAGTTATCGATTCTAGAGGAAGGATTAAGATACAGTGCATATTTAGTAAGAGTCTTGTCTTGCTGACTCTGGAGGATGAGCTGATTTTTTTATTTCCTCCAGAAATCTGACTGACTGCAGTTTCTTATTCTGTCTTATTGAATTTGAAGCAGCAGTTTGAAACAGCTAGCTCCTGTGGGTATATTTCAGATCTTTCTCAATCTTAGGTTTTTTTTCTCTGTATCATGCTGAAGTTTGATAAAATCCAATGAATTGGCCTTATATTACACCCTAGTAAATTCAAGTTATATTCTTAATGCTTAAGTATATATCCTGGCCTGTTATCAATTCTCATTTTGTGTATTTACTAACTTAGTTTATTTTTTATCCCACTTTTCTCCTGATATTGGGACTCAAGGAACATTGCACAATACAATTAAAACAGAGCAAAAGCATTAAATATGAATATCAAAGTTAAAAACAATTACATCTTTTGTGTCGCTGAACCTAAAAATATTAAAATACATTAAAAAAAAACATTGCCCCTAAAATCCCACTCACATTACCCCCAGCAGCCTGCCTCTCATCATTCCATAAACAGCTGATGGCAGAATTGTGTTTTCACCTTCCTGTGCTAGGCAAGCAGGGATGAAGTCAACTTCTACTGAAAATTGAAATGTGCTTTGAATCCTTTGACCTGTCTTATCTGCCTGTTTCTCTTAATTGTCTTCTGAAAATTGTGGTTGTCTTTATTTGACAAACCATCTCAATGTGTAGCAACAAATATGTTGGGACTCTTGGGTGTTCATCTTCATTCTCATTGGTTAGGCAAGCCAGTTCACTCATCACACCTTCATGGGACATTTTCAGGTACACATTTTCTTGTGATTGCTACACACATTCAGAAGAATGCTAGCAAACATTAATGTTTGGTCCACAAGTTATTTTTCCAAGCATTTTATTATTCTAAAGGGGGACAGCTCTTTGAAACCCATCATGGACCTCAGAGGGTTCAGTCTTTACAAATATAAGCAAGGGATAGAAAGTTTTTTACACTGAACACAGTGGAAATGTGGTACTGCCAAAAAAGATACGGCTCATTTAACTAAGATCCAGTGCTGTGAAGTTCAATGGTTTCTTCAGTTGCATCCATGCATTTCACACAGGAAAGAACTTGTAGTTTTTTGTACTTTTGTTTTTTGTTTTGTTGCTCTCCTAACATCTATATTCCCAAGCCCACTTGGACAGAAAGCAGGTTTGTAAAGAGGTATGAAGCTGATAGCTAACTTATCAATAGTATGCACAGATATTTACCTCTGTATTTGTCAAGCAGCTGCCAAATTTTCACCCCAATCTATTATCCCAAGATGGATATTTGACTGAAAAAAATATTCGGGAAACAGTCGTAAAATCATTTCACTTTCCTTATATCCACATTCTAGCCTACATAAAAAGGCATTTTTTTCATATGGTTGTAAAAATTGTTTTTGTTTGTTTGTTTTTGCATACCAGCCTTATTCTGATCATGGAGTACAGGCAGCATATCATCAAGTTTACGCTCAAAGTGCTATAGCCATGCCAACCCCTGTGTTGCAGCCAGAATCCGTTAAAGTAAGACCTATAAGATCATTTATTTGGAGGGGTATGTATTAGGTGATGGATAAAATTCAAATTGGATAGGAAAATAGTAGGAACAAGACATAAAGCTGTATTTCGCTATATATCAAATTGATTGCCAATCCCTCTTCGCTCAGCCACTCTAGACAGTTGAGAGCAGATTTACTGAGGACAAAAACATCTGTCGGGAAAAAAGAAGACAGGCAAGCATTGTCTTTCCCCATTCACCAGTAGGATTCCTCTGCTGTAACCAACCCATTGCTTTAATTTGGTTTTTACTGCTGGATTGTAAGCCAACATATTGGGAAGGAGTGAATATGTGACATAAATAAGAAGAAAAAGAGGATATATTTGGCAGAAAGCAGAGGATATAAACAATCTAAGCTATTTCCTGCAGAGGGTGCTATAGTACTCATTGTCGCTAATAAAATTCATTCTGAGCCTTCAAAATTCATTCTGAGTCTTCAAGTAGGACCAAGACAGGTATTTTCTTGGTCCTAAATATTCTTAAGTCTCCAGATCCTTTCTAATCTTGAAAGCAAAGTTGAGTCAGTCTTAGTTAGTACTTGGATGGGAGAATACCAACAAATACCAGGTACTATTAGCTACATTTCAGAATAATTAACTGGCAGAACCACCTCTGCGGCCCTTTCAACACTGCCCCTATATCCCAGGATCTGATCCCAGAATACCTTCTTATCTCGGATTATCATAAAAACAAGGCAGTCCTCCCTTTTTACCTGCTTTTCCTACAAAAGGTGGTATTGCCATTGCATAGTAATCAAGATGCAATCATTCTGTCCACAGCCCTCCACACCACTGGAGATGGCTTTACACACTCTGGATGGATGCACATAACATACTTCCAGGATCAGAAAAATCTCCTAGTGTTGGTTTGTCATAGTAAAAGGGAGGCTGTCTCCCTTGTGTCATCAAAAAGATTGTACAGATGGATTTTCAGGGTCACTGATTTGGCATACCAACTTGCATGCAAGTCCCAACCTGCATGGCCGCCTTTCCACTTCTGTTTTGCTGTTGCCACCTCTTATGCTTGGCTGCAGAGGTCTACAGAACTGCCATCTGTTCTCAGTCCTGTATTTTCATATGATACTGCTGCCTGGATTGCAGAGTGCAAGCAGATGTGGGTTACGGTAGGGCAGTGCTCTCATCCATCATTAACTAACCTGTCCCTCTTTCACTGGTAAGCTTCCTGATATCACAATTGTGTGAAGCACAGGGGCCATGAAGGAGGACATGTTATTCCTCTGTATTTGTAGTTCGAATAATCATCTATGCCTTCAGAGAAACCCACCCTCCTCTCTTCTTTTGTAGGTTTGCCAATTTCTGATAGGCAGCAGAATCAGCTTTTGGCACTACATATATAGTGCTGCACAATGAAAACATGAGAAGATATTCATCTCTATTTTCCAAATTGTTTTTAAAAATGAAATTCGGTCTTGTTCTGGTGGTAATGATGAATCCTGTCATTAGCGGAATGTAATCTTTGCTTAAATTCATATTACAACTGTGGTAGTGGATCTCTCTCCTAGATGCTACTCATTGTACTCTGTGATCTTAAAATGAGACCTTTTAAATGAAGGGGAGGGATTTCTTGTCTCTCAGAGATGAGAGCAGATAAGGATTTCATATGTGCTGGGGGTGTCTCTTCCTTTAAAAACCAAGGTTTTTTGTTTCACATTTCTCATCTTTTTAAAATGATGTTAAAATATGTAGCAGACTATCTTGGAATATATTGTAATAAAACGATTAATGTGAAATGTCCAATTTTTTTAAGGAAACAAGGATACATCCAGTGAGGAGGAATTTTTCTCATCCTTCATCAATGACTTTGAAGCCTCGCTATGCACGTAGTCCTCACTTTCATCCTAGAAAAGATTACAGATCAGATGACGCAATGCTTACTACTCCTTCATCCACAGACTCTGTTAAATAGAACCTTAGGTATTTACATTACCAAGTAAACGTGTGTAATATTGTAGCTTGTCACATTTGTCAAGTATTGGTAAGTCAAAATGAGCTTACTTTTTTAAGGAGATAAAATACCTTACTTGTAAACATTCAGTTAATAAACACAAATCGCAGTAAAATCATGTTTACCCTTATCGGTTGACATACTTACCTTGTGACACAGACTTGTAATTTGTAGACCATGCATGGACTGTTTATTAGTACAGTACATTTCTATTGCAAAATAAACATTTAATTCCTTTTTCTCTGAGAAATTGCAAAAATGGCTAAAAAGATACTAAGAACCATTTTTCCTAGACTGAAAATTCATATAGTGTTGGATTTTCATTTTTAATACTTCTATTTCAGTATTCTTTTGAATTTGGTATACTTTCTGTTTTTCATATATTAACTAGTATCAAATCAATCTGTTTTTATTTTGTCAGGGAGAATCTAGTAATGTTAAGGTTCTTTAAAAATGGAAAATAAGACCATTTCCTTATATCAACATTCTGATTTCTGTACCTGATGCTCTAAAATATACTAAAATTGCGAGGCATTATTTTAGGTGTGAAAAATGCAAGTATTGTATTAATACAATACTAAACTATTTCAAAAGCTACATTCAACTATTAGTCTATTGGTGTGCAGGATCAAAATGAATCACTGCCTATATCATGTCCTGAAAAAGAACCCATTATTCATGTCACTATGAGGATAAAAATTAGCTATTTGTTCCTTCCTTTTCTTTATAACCTTTTATTACATTGCCTCATCTTCAAATTATTCTGGCAGAATAAATGTATCTGCTGTTTTTAATTGGAGTGAAATCACAGTTATGTCACTTGCACTGTGAAATGTCATTATTTTAATTTCTGTGTATTAAAGTGAGCTTCCGACTCTTTCGGGGGCTTACTTTTGTTTTTTATGTCAAATAAGGAGTTTTTAGTCATTATTACAACAGTAATACATACATCAGTAAGATCACATTTAAATAATGTATTTAAGATCTACTAATGTTGTCTTTTAACATTGTAGTAGCCATATACAATTTTTATTGCCTGTTTCGTCTAAAATCTATGTCATTGCCTGTGGCAGTAGCAAAGGAGAGTAATTCCTAATAACATTTTATTTATTTTTCTAGTAATGTTCACGCTTAATTTTTCATAGGGTATGTACTAGCATTGAGCAGGGGAAAAACCTATGCAAAAGTAATTTATTCATTTTGTAAAAATGTTTATGATAGCCCAGTAGTTGATTTAAATGGTCTTTATATCAAATGTAAATAACTTGCATTCTTGGGAGAGAGATCTGTTCAACGTTCTGTTCTTATAGTTGCACAAGTTTTAAAATATATTTGCAAAATTTCATTGACATTTTTTGAAACTGCCTTATATCTGTGAAATGACTTGCTCAGTTATACATGCTGTTATACGCAATAGAGAAAAAGCCAGGAAAATGCTATGTGTTCTGTTACTGTGGCCTTATTTTGCAGCATATCATGCAGCTATTGTACATAACCTATTTAATCCAAGCAATTGGGGTTGGTTTTAAATCTTTTGCTTGGGTTCCCATTTTTTGTATACAACAAAAATGATTGGATCCAGTGTTGTTATGCTGCTGATGGAACTGCTTCTGTTAGCAGAATGAGGAGTGTTGATCCTCATTTCCACACATACTGCCCAGATATCCTGGGAGTTACCCTGGAATAAGAGGAATTGGAAAATGGACCACACTATTGTATTTTTAAATAATATTTAAAAACATGCAAGAAGCATATGGTATTTAGTACTGCCACTTGTAAAACAACTTTTTCCATCATATATGCAAACCTTTATTCTAACTGCTGTGGTCTCTTATTAATATGTGCATCGGGTAGATGCATACCTCTTACTTTACGTTTAAGTAATTATTGTTGCTTATATAGACCATATTGTTGCTTATATAGACCTAGGGAAAAACCAAAATAGGTGTCTAATTAATATAATTAATTCTTGCAGCTGTGTCTAGAAGAAAGTCAGAAAAATTGCCTTCCACACCCTAATTCTGCAGTATTAACTATGGGACAGTAAAAGAATGGTTTTTCTTTTAAATTTGTGATAAATTCTGGGATGTTTTGTGGCCTTGACAGTGACCTAAAGCTAATAAAATCCCCTTTTGTCTTGCTTCCATGGAAAAACGTAATGGTTACCAAGACCAGTGTACTTTCTGATGTTGTAATTTCAGATTTAACCATCTTGTGAATATGGAAAGCAAGAATTGACAGTGGCATTAAGATTGGTTATATAAAAATATTTATTCAAACCCTGCTCTTAAATTTCAGTTTTGGGTTTGTAACAGAATCATATTGGCCATCTATTTAGAGAGGAAGAAATTATTTTTGTCATGGTTATCATAACAAACATATTTAAGAAATTGGTAGGAAATATCATAATGTTTAAACAGGACTTTTCTATTAGTGGGAAAACTGCCTGTTTGAAATTTTAAAAAAGCACGAACATCAAATGTTGTTCAGCTTTGCAAAGCCAAAAAGGTCAGTTTAATTGTATCATAATTGTTTGACCTTTTACTTTGATATTTAGTTATGCTTTAATGTAAAGGCCACTTAACAAAGAATTAGAGTGCATTCTGGTTATATACACAAAGGTAGCAGAACACATGGCTTTATGCATATGTTTTATATCTCTATTACAGTATTGGTATATAATATAAATTCATTGTAATGTATATTAAGATAAGACAGTTGGATTCTCATATTGTGGCAGATTTTTTTAAAAAAACCAAAAACCTAGAATGTGACAAGGAATTTATTTTAACAATGTATGCTTAAATATCTACTAAGAAGCTGGTATATTTTATATTTGCAATTTCTGTATTATTGCAAAGCTCTAATTTTAGGCAGACAGTATAAAACAATAGATGAGTATTATCTGTTTTTGAGTTTCGTTAGTAGACAATGTTTCTCAAATCTTTTTATATGAAAACACTGTTCTGAAAATACATTAAACTAGCAATTAAAAACAGGATGCATGGCAGTGAATTTTGTAACAGATATGTACAATACTCTTCATTATTTTGTTCACAAAATTTCACACTCATAAACAATATTTATTATTATTATTATTGTTTTGCAATTGCCTACTATAGTATTCTAACAAAAGTGGCAGGATGCTTGCTTCACTCCATATGCATTTGTGGTAAATGCCTCTGCAAATCCTTGCTAATGTACAAACAGATGTTGAATGTCCGGAAAACTTTTTCTTCACTATTTAATAATGTTTCAGAGTTTTCAAAAACCGTTGTCAATTCTTTTTGTTTGAACAATGGATACTGTCATATCATCATGTAGATTCCATTCAGGTCAGTACAGCCCTGCTTTGTCCACAAAACACAAGCAAAGGTCATTGCTGGAGAGAAATATGGAAGGGGCAACTCTGCCTATTCCTGGCCTCTTACCCTTAGTGAGGATCTTCTGTGCAGGGCAGTATACCTGTGTTGGATTAGATTGTGTCACTTATATATAGTAAGAAAACAAGTGTCTACATTCTATATCTTTTTTTAAAAAGTGATTTTATAAGAAAGTTTCATCTAAATAAAGTATTTTTAATCTACTGATGATTATTATTTTAGGTGGAACAGGCAAGCACATCATTTATATAAGTAAACTAAACTTCTAGAATTTGCAAAGACTTTAGAATTCAAAGAGTAGAATTTAGGACTGAACAGTAACAAATCATGTAATTCAACGGCATTTATCGTTATTTTTTAATATTTCACAAAAACTACTAAAGCCATCACAGGTCAATACTGTAATACTGTTAATACTACTTAGCATATGCAAACAGTTAAGTGTCCATATGCTGAGCTATAAAGAAATGCTCAGAAGGGGTGGAGCATGATCCTATATTGCCTCTGGAAGGGAACCATTAAAAGTTGATGATAGTCTCCCTTTCTCCAGTCATTTTACTTTTTTTTAAAATGGCCTTCTCCATTTACATTTCATGGACAGGAAAATGGGTTTCAACATGAAATACATTCATGAAAAGACAGAGCTCTTGAAGGCCTCTTTTTAGTTTAGGGCCTGTAGTTGTGGATGCTCCAACCAATGGACACTCATCCAATATCCATAATTTGCCCTGAAGATTTTCAAAACTCTGGGCTCCACACTCATCTATGGATGTTTTGAGGAGTTAAGAATGGGTTAAAACATTGTTTTTAATCCCTCCCAGAATGGTGGCACTAGATGCAACCTGCGAAAGAAAATATAATAGGTAGATAGAAGATAGGAAGGAACTGGGGTGTATTAAGTGAGAAAATGCAACAGAGATCTATATAGTCATGTGTTCTGAATATTGCACTGATGTCTTCTGTGAAGTGCATAGTGTGTCCCATGGGTGGTATAGTGGAGGAAGGGAACAAATGTTTGAATGGTGATTCTGAAAGAGCATGGAGAGAGTTTTAGTGTTTAAAAGTTTAAAAGAAGTCATTTTGTTTCATGGGACTCAAGTTGTACTTTTGCCTTATGCTCATGTCAGTGTTACTTGTCTTTTGTTTTGACAGTTTGACTTCTGTGAAGTATATGTGTGTTTTTATTGCTCCTGTCACATGAAAACTTTGTGAAAATCTGAAGTGTTGGTATTAATTCGTCAAGATAGGTTGAGAAAGGCGGTATACAAGTATAGTAAATAAATAAATGGATAATTTTTAATACTTAAGGGGTTTTTTTGTAGTGAGGTGAGTCTTCCAAACATTGGGCTCTCATCAGTTTTAGTAAATCTCAGAGATAACAGGATTTTCCGTGTAATAACATCTGGAAGGCACAGATTTCCCATTGGTATTTTACTGAGTCATAATCGCCATTAAAAATTCATGTTAAAGACATGAGTTCTTCTGGCAAGCTAATGGCTCTGGACAACTCCACACATTGGTCAAGTTCAAGCATTCAATGATTCTAGAGGTAGTGGATGAGGTAACAGATTTATTCCAGTCCCAATTGCAGCATCTCATTCTGAAATGCTTAGGGTATTCTGTGGAATAGCATGGAAGGCAACATGAGCCTGGAAGGAAATTTTGAGAAAATTGTTGTCAATCCCTTCCTTCAGTGGGAAGCCTCCACTATATCCCTGTCCCCCTCTGTGGATGGAAGGAATTCCAATATTAGAGGTAAGTTTGAATTCGGTCCCCCATGGCTTAAGGAAACAGCAGTGTTCTGCCATCATTTCATGCAACAACCCTTTTTGTTTGGAGTGTGGCTATATATGTGATTGCTAGTGTGATGTCTAAATTTTCTCAAGATCCTGCAAATCCTTTTTTTTTTACACGCGGTTTTCTTGTAAAAGTTTTGTGGCTTTTCCATTCATCATGATCTCTAACTCACAAAAATTGGTCTGTGTCTGCACAGTGCACCATCCTGAACCTTCTAGAGCCATTATATAAATGCTTTTTGACAATAGCCCTGCCTCTTTCTGGGATCCAAACCATCACACTTCCTACCTATATCCTCAGTGCCTTTTTGTCCATCACTGCAGCATCTGAGGGATCATCTAAAGCTTTTCATTTTGTCTATCTGGTATTTTAACGTGGCATTTCAGTCTTCATTTTTCCTCTTTGGCAGTTGCATAGATTCTCAGTTTGATTCAAACTGTTTAACAGCCTCATGTTGATTGAATTTGGTGTTTTGGATGATACTGCCTCAAGTTCCTTTAAGAAGGAAAGGTGGCCATTCCAAATGCCCCTTCTACTGTATCTGTGTGTTTATATACAACTACTGTAAGGCCTTTTTTCAAGACGCAATATGTAATTGAGAAGTGATGCTGAATTCTTTTCCATATGACCATGCCTTTGCTGCAATCATTCAAATACTGTAATCATCTTATCTCCTTGTTCTACCTTGCTCCTTCTCAGTACTGAATCCATCTACTTCATCACTCCAACTGACCTTTAAAAAAGTCCCCATGAAACTGATTTCTATGCCCATTAAGAAACAGTGGACAGACACCAGAGCAGCTTCAGAATTGGCTGTGAACTCTGGTTTGTTTTCAATACTGAGAACTTTTAATCAGTACCATCATATCACTCCATATGCAAGAAGCATAAGGAAAACAGAAGCAAGCTAAATCACCCCATTCCTGTGCTTTACCCTCTGCTCTGCCTGTACAAGCCAAAACATTAAAATCTGCAATTATAAACAGCCCAAGGTCAAGAAGCCATAATCGGAACAAAGTCCAAGTAGAGAAATCAGTGAGAAATCCAAGGGTCATAAATCCAAAATGTTCAACAGCAATCCCATTCTCAAGACTTGTAGCCTTTCCCTGCAACTGGGAGTCAATGCTTAATTCATCTTCGCTCACAAGGACTTGAAGGTCACTCTTCTAGCTCCCCTTCTCGCTGACCTGGAGAAGGATTTGGCTGTTTGTCACCCTAAATTGCTGAAGAAAGACTTGGCTGCTGTAAGTCTTCATCTTCTGACGAAAATGCACTCTCCAGTGGGGCATGACACTTTTTGACAGTGGAAGAAGCACCTGTAGTTTCAGTTTTTCCACAGATTTCAATTGGTTGTCCTTCAGCTGTTGTGCAAGTTGCAAGAATGTCTTTCATGGCATGTGTCAGACACAGGACTTGTTTAGTTGGGGATATAAGCATTCTCCAGATGTAGTTCGGGATCCTTTTGATTTCCATTGGCAGCCCAGTCACTTGCAGAACAACACTATTCTCAGCCTCCTGCCTCGCTTCATTGTACTGCCTCGCTTGATTCTTCCTGTGTGCTCCATCCACTAACTCGGTTTTGCAAACCAGCCCAATTAGGCATGTATTCTGATCTTCATCTCTAATTCCTGGAGGTCTCAATCTTGAATACTCAGAAACCAGTGGTCTTAGTACTCTCCTTAGTAATTTTGGGTTTTACTCA